TGCATGGCCAGGCACGACTCCAACACCATCATTAAGTTTGCCGATGACACAACAGTGGTAGGCCTGATCACCGACAACGATGAGACAGCCTATAGGGAGGAGGTCAGAGACCTGGCCATGTGGTGCCAGGATAACAACCTCTCCCTCAACGTGACCAAAACAAAGGAGATGATTGTGGACTACAGGAAAAAAAAGAGGACTGAGTACGCCCCCATTCTCATCGACGGGGCTGTAGTGGAACAGGTTGAGAGCTTCAAGTTCCTTGGTGTCCACATCACCAACGAACTATCATGGTCCAAACACACCAAGACAGTCGTGAAGAGGGCACGACAAAGCCTATTCCCCCTCAGGAGACTGAAAAGATTTGGCATGGGTTCTCAGATCCTCAAAAAATTCTACAGCTGCACCATCGAGAGCATCCTGACTGGTTGCATCACCGCCTGGTATGGCAACTGCTTGGTCTCTGACCGTAAGGCACTACAGAGGGTAGTGCGTACGGCCCAGTACATCACTGGGGCCAAGCTTCCTGCCATCCAGGACCTCTATACCAGGCGGTGTCAGAGGAAGGCCCTCAAAATTGTCAAAGACTCCAGCCACCCTAGTCATAGACTGTTCTCTCTGCTACCGCACGGCAAGCGGTACCGGAGTGCCAAGTCTAGGTCCAAAAGACCTCTCAACAGCTTCTACCCCCCAAGCCATAAGACTCCTAAACAGCTAATCATGGCTACCCGGGCTATTTGCACTGCCCCCCCCCCCCCCCCCACCCCATCATTTTACGCTGCTGCTACTCTGTTTATTATTTATGCATAGTCACTTTAACTCTACCCACATGTACATATTACTCCAACTACCTGTTGTATTTGGCGCATGTGGCCAATAAAATTTGATTTGATTTGATTTTGAGTTGCAATGATCATGAGAACGGTAAGGAATCAGCCCAGAACTACATGGGAGGATCTTGTCAATGATCTCAAGGCAGCTGGGACCATAGTCACCAAGAAAACAATTGGTAACACACTACGCCGTGAAGGACTGAAATCCTGCAGCAACCGCAAGGTCCCCCTGCTCAAGAAAGCACATATACAGGCCCGTCTGAAGTTTGCCAATGAACGTCTGAATGATTCAGAGGAGAACTGGGTGAAAGTGTTGTGGTCAGATGAGACCAAAATATAGCTCTTTGGCATCAACTCAACTCGCCGTGTTTGGAGGAGGAGGAATGCTGCCTATGACCCCAAGAACACCATCCCCACCATCAAACATGGAGGTGGAAACATTATGCTTTGGGGGTGTTTTTCTGCTAAGGGGACAGGACAACTTCACCGCATCAAAGGGACGATGGACGCGGCCATGTACCGTCAAATCTTGGGTGAGAACCTCCTTCCCTCAGCCAGGGCATTGAAAATGGGTCGTGGATGGGTATTCCAGCATGACAATGACCCAAAACACACGGCCAAGGCAACAAAGGAGTGGCTCAAGAAGAAGCACATTAAGGTCCTGGAGTGGCCTAGCAAGTCTCCAGACCTTAATCCCATAGAAAATCTGTGGAGGGAGCTGAAGGTTCGAGTTGCCAAACATCAGGCTCGAAACCTTAATGACTTGGAGAAGATCTGCAAAGAGGAGTGGGACAAAATCCCTCCTGAGATGTGTGCAAACCTGGTGGCCAACTACCAGAAACGTCTGACCTCTGTGATTGCCAACAAGGGTTTTCCCACCAAGTACTGAGTCATGTTTTGCAGAGGGGTCAAATACCTATTTCCCTCATTAAAATGCAAATCAATTTATAACATTTTTGACATGCGTTTTTCTGGATTTTTTTGTTGTTATTCTGTCTCTCACTGTTATAATAATATGCCATTTAGCAGACGCTTTTATCCAAAGCGACTTACAGTCATGTGTGCATACATTTTTACGTATGGGTGGTCCCGGGGATCGAACCCACTACCCTGGCGTTACAAGCGCCATGCTCTACCAATTGAGCTACAGAGGACCAAGGACTGTTCAAATAAACCTACTATTAAAGATAAAAATTATAGACTGATCATGTCTTTGTCAGTGGGCAAACGTACAAAATCAGCAGGGGATCAAATACTATTTTCCCTCACTGTATGTATTTATGTGTGTCCTCATAGTTGTTACATGTTTGTATAACATAAACTGTGTGTCTGCGTGTGTGCCTGCATGCGTGTGTGTGTGCCAGTGGCGATTTTAGCATGTACATCTTGGTGGGGCAAACACAATTATTTATTTTTTGATGCATGACAGCAAAGCCACAACAAAACACTGAACAAAACATTAATTGCACTATAACAGTGACAAATGGTGCCCACAAACTGTTAGGGCCTACATAAAGCTGTCCCAACAGCAGAGCTTTCCTTTCAGCACCATGGAGTGAATCCTTACCACCGCTACACCTGGCTATCAGCGGAACCTTGTCTGGCAGCGAAACAGTTCATTCAGCCTCCATTTCCTGCCTTTTTAAAAACCATAGCTGATATGGCTGACTTGCTTAAACAAATGTGGTTACTACTGACTCCTTGTGGATTTGTGTAAGTCGATAAGAACCGCATTCTCCTTCAATAATAATGAACGCCAAAATGAGTTTTGACTTTGAACCATACACAAACATTATTACATTCTTGTTCAGTAAATTCATAATGTGTATTCTTATATCATTAACACTTAGCTCTAAGGATAAGCAAGTGCAAGCAAATGAGCTGTGATGAGGTAGGCCTATTCGTTCAGCACTTTCAAAATGGACACAGACAGAAATTCAAACAGATGTTGAGGCCTTAACTTCACCACAGAGAGAGAGAGAGAGAGACTTGGTTAGCCTACCATTTGAAGTACTTTATTAGGCCTATGTGGTCTAAAAAGAAAGGAAAATACAATCGTGAGGATCCACTTTTATATACAATATACCGACACATTGCAAAACAACCCTCGCTGGAATTGAGCGAGCTAAAATGGACGTAGTCAATATAATATTTGTTCAGCACTTTTGAAATGTACAGTGACAGAATTCAGAACATGGGCCGTTCTTACAGTGTTCTCCCTGTACACCAAGTCAGTACCGTAGGATAAATAAAGGGGGCATATAAGCAGACAAAAAAAGCTCTTACTATATTCGATGATGACATTTCTCTAAAACAGGCTATAGTCTACATGTGCACCACCAAGTCAGAACAGTAGGCTAAGTTATGAGGGGGAAAGGGACCAAATTATTAGGGTGAGGCACATGGGCTACTAACAGATTATTACCCAACATACACTTAGTATTACTTTCTTAGCTACAGTATACATATCTCCCTGGCATATTATTTATACAGCAGCATACAATAAATGTTTTGACTCACCATTGTTGTGCTGTGCTAACTTGAACATGAAGGTGGCGCGGTGGTCCTTCTAGTGGGCAAATTTTGTCATCAAACTTTGTCATCAAAGTCTGGCGTTCTCCGGATTTATGGTGCTTTCAAGACAACTGGGAACTTGGAAAAAAAACAAGGTCGAATCATGACATCAGTGGACTTGAAATTCCGAGTTGGATGACCGTTCAAAATGTATTTTCCCAGTCGGAGTTCCCATTTGTCTTGAACTCACTGAAGTCTGAGATTTCCCAGTTACGAGTTTCAAGTTGTTTTGAATGTGGCAGAAGTCATGCTGGATTGACAGAATGGCCAATGTACTCAACCTTTTCTGACCCATGGTGTTGCGTGTGAATGTTTATCCTTTTAAGCTTGGAAAAGAGACCCTTTCAGACAGATGTTTTAAATCCTTAAACCCAGACTTAGCAGGCAGGGGAAGCAAAATAGTGATTGCTTTGCAACTCTTGCAGTTAGCCCCTGATTCCTTCCAAACCACTCATTGTTGAATTTTTAATTTACAACTTGTTGTGTAATGTTTATGTCCAATGGCTGATGAGCACCGATACGTTTTATCTATAATTTGATTGAAAATTATTTGCCAGTAGATTGCCGACGTGATTCATGATGATGATTGCTTGTCTAGCTTGCTAGCTATTTTGAAAGTATGATGTTGACATGATCAGTCCAATCAAAGCTACGGTAGATATAACGTGATTTGACGTCATTTTATCTGTGGCTAATGACCTTGAGCCTTCTTGGATGGGCACTTCTAATGTAACCCTATGGCAGCACCCAAGGGGGCTGGAACTGCCTAGCTCTCCTTGTAGATTCTGTGGTGACGTAGTTTCCCCATGAGTGACAGAACACTGAGCCAATCACGGCGCAACTAGAGAAGATTACCAACTCCTACGCTCTGTATTTTTCGCTGGCTGCCCCTCCACCACAGAAAGCACTGAGCTAGGCTGAAACACCTTCATGTTGGAGCTGCCTTACTTAAGAAAGCAAGAAAGAGACCATATTTGTATGCGGCTTTCTTCAATCAATAAATGTGTTTTTACATTGTTTGCAAACTGATATGTGACACGAATTAAAGCCAAAATAACATGCAAAACAGGCAAAAAAAAGAAATATATATATATATATATATATATTTTTGCTATACAGGTGGGGCTCAGAATGACGGGTCTTCACTCGTGTGTGTGCATACGTGTGTGTGTGTGTGCGTGTGTGTTTGTGTGACTGTACCTGTAGTGGTATTTGTAGTCCAGTATGGGCCATCAGTGTGTTGGCCCAGGGCCCAGCTGTAATAACCAGGCTCTCTGCCCTGTAGACCCCAGTTGCTGTCGTCACGGTGACTGTAGAGCCAGGCTGGATGTCTGTAACCTTATCTCCATCCTTTATCACTCCTCCCACACTCTGGAACACTCTCTGGGAATGCATGCGAGAGATGTAGAAATTAAGGGAAAAGCCTTTCTTACTTCCCTTAGCAGTCTAATGTGACTCTAGAAAATTCATGGAGGAGCCTGAATGAGATTCATACCTGAGTTCCTGTGACTGTTATTTCAATCCATTATACCAAGAGGTCTGAACCTCTCCGCAAGGTCACTAGGTGTTGTAAGAAGTTTGCTTCAAGGGCCCTTACTGTACCTGTACTGTCCTGAGGGCCCGGTCTGCATACAGGACCCCAACGGTGGTGTCTATGAGGGCCCTCTCCCCAGCCAGCAGGTTGACCTGGGGGAGCCTCTGGCTGAACACCTCTGGTCCCAGGGTCTCTGTGGGAACCTGGTTCCTCTCCAGGATGCTCCTGAACAGCTGGAAGTCCATGTCATCCTCAGGGCCCTTCACCAGGATACTAGTACGCCTGGGAGTGGGATGGGAAGAAACAAATTAAGTCCTACGGGTGTGTTGATGTTTGTGTATCATCAAGAGGAAATGTTACTGTTACTAGAGGCAGTTATTAAAGCATCCTGCTTACAGTGCCTAGTAAAAATAATGACATGGCATACATGGAAAATGCAGTCTCCATTTGAAAGACAATATGTACATGAATAAACCATCTATAATAAGACGCTTTCTTACAAACTCAGTCTTTGTGTAACATACAGTGCATTCGGAAAGTATTCAGACCCCTTCCCTTTTTCTACATTCTTTTTCGTTACAGTCTTATTCTAAAATTGATTAAATGAATTTTTTTCCTCATCAATCTACAAACAATACTCGATAATGACAAAGCGAAAACAAGTTTTTAGAAATGTTTGCTCAGGTGCATCCTGTTTCCATTGATCATCCTTGAGATGTTTTTACAACTTGATTGGAGTCCACCTGTGGTCAATTCAATTGACTGGACATGATTTGGAAAGGCACACACCTGTCTATATAATGTCCCACAGTTGACAGTGCATGTCAGAGCAAAAACCACGCCATGAGGTCAAAGGAATTGTCCGTAAAGCTCAGAGACAGGATTGTGTCGAGGCACAGATCTGGGGAAGGGTGCCAAAAAATTTCTGCAGCATTGAAGGTCCCCAAGAACACAGTGGCCTCCATCATTCTTAAATGGAAGACGTTTGGAAACACCAAGACTCTTCCTAGAGCTGGCCGCCCCGGCCAAACTGAGCAATCGGGGCAGAAGGGCCTTGGTCAGGGAGGTGACCAAGAACCTCATGGTCACTCTCACAGAGCTCCAGAGTTCCTCTGTGGAGATGGGAGAACCTTCCAGAAGGACAACCATCTCTGCAGCATTCCACCAACGACCCTAAGCACACAGCCAAGATAACGCAGGAGTGGCTTCGGAACAAGTCTCTGAATGTCCTTGTGTGTCTCAGCCAGAGCCAGAACTTGAACCCGATCGAACCTCTCTGGAGAGACCTGAAAATAGCTGTGCAGTGACAGACCATCCAACTTGACAGAGCTTGAGAGGATCTGCAGAGAAGAATGGGAGAAACTCCCCAAATACAGGTGTGCCAAGCTTGTAGTGTCATACCCAAGAAGACTTGAGGTTGTAATTTCTGCCAAAGGTGCTTTAACAAAGTACTGAGTAAAGGGTCTGAATACTAACGTAAATGTGATATTTCAGTTGATCATTTTTAATAAATTAGCAAACATTCTAAAAAACAGTTTTTGCTTTGTCATTATGAGGTATTGTGTTTGGATTGATGAGGATTCTTTAAAAAAAATCCATTTTAGAATAATAATAATAATAATTTAACAAAATGTGGAAAAAGTCAAGGGGTCTGAATACTTTCCGAATGCACTGCACGTTACCATGAAAGCATAAAGTGAAAAATAAATTAAACACAGCCTCTAAAATAAATGAAATGTTGAATCTATGAAAATAATGTGTTGATGTACAGTACCAGTCAAAAGTTTGGACACACCTACTCATTCAAGGGGTTTTCTTTATTTTTACTATTTTCTAAGTTGTAGAATAGTAGTGAAGATATCAAAACTATGAAATAACACATATGGAATCATGCAGTAACCAAAAAAGTGTTAAACAAATCAACATTTATATTTGAGATTCTTCAAAGTAGCCACCCATTGACTTTATGACAGCTTTTGTCATAAATTATTATTATTGGTGTCCTTTAGCAGCAGCAATTTGACCATAAAGGCCTGATTCACAAAGTCTCCTCTGAACAGTTGATGTTGAGATGTGTCTGTTACTTGAACTCTGTGAAACATTTATATGGGCTGCAATCTGAGGTGCAGTTAACTCTAATGAACTTATCCTCTGCAGCAGAGGTAACTCTGGGTCTTCCGTTCATGTGGCGGTCCTCATGAGAGCCAGTTTCATCATAGCGCTTGATGGTTTTTGCGACTGCACTTGAGGAAACTTTCAAAGTTCTTTAAATTTTCCGGATTGACTGACCTTCATGTCTTAAAATAATGATGGACTGTTGTTGCTCTTTTCTTATTTGAGCTGTTCTTGCCATAATATGGACTTGGTCTTTTACCAAATAGGGCTATCTTCTGTATACCACCCCTACCTTGTCACAACACAATTGATTGGCTCAAACGCATTAAAAAGGAAAGAAATTCCACAAATTAACTTTTAAGAAGGCACACCTGTTAATTTAAATGCATTCCAGGTGACTACCTCATGAAGCTGGTTGAGAGAATGCCAAGCGTGTGCAAAGCTGTCATAAAGTCAAAGGGTGGCTACTTTGAAGAATCTCAAATATAAATGTTGATTTGTTTAACACTTTTTTGGTTACTACATGAATCCATATGTGTTATTCCATGGTTTTGATGTCTTCACTATTATTCTACAATGTAGAAAAGAAAAACCCTGGAATGAGTAGGTGTATCCAATCTTTTGACTGGTACTGTATGTACTTGGCTAAGATTATGTTAACACAGTAGGCCTTTCCAGTGGCAATCAGCGGTTGAAACAATAACAAAGCTAACTCCCCTTCCCTGTTTCGGTAAAAAGCTGAGGGACGTGGCTGGAGAAATATAACCACTCTCAAATTCATAGACAGAGCTGTGGATGGACGGACAGACCATCCATGATGTCGAAGTTATAGTTTTAACCATGTTTTGAGGCTATATAGTGTTTGTTTACATTTACTTTGTTTACAAACATTGGAGTAAAACAAGCTTATATTTTGGGTTCTGATGGGGTAAGACAATTGAACTAAGATCATGAGGTATTCATAAGTTATATTCTTCAAGAATCAATGGGTACATACAGTATAATTCATTTATAAGTCCAAAAATGGATGTGGCTACTGCAGACTGCACCTTTCGGTGAAGGTATGGGTGTGGTTGGAGGCCTGTCCAACCAACAGGTGCCATCTTGAAATATTCTGCATTCATAACAAGTGGGAAATTCGGAAAATACTACTTGTGAACTGGGCGCAACAAGAGTTCTGTTTTTCCTGTGTCTTGTATCATATTGTACAACAGCTGATGAAACTAACACTGTAAAAGTGTGAAAGAATCTGATCAGTGTTATTTCCTGATAGTTGCTGGTTGAAAATACAATCTACACAGCAGGTTTTGCATGGGTGGAGTTTCAGCTTGCCCGGTAAATAAGTTAATAGACCAATAACAAAGAGTTCCAAACCTCTCTGCCAATAACAGCTTTTAGGTGCCCTCCCCCTCCCCACTCAGACCACTTTCAGACTGTCCTAGCAAAATTCTTGTTTAAGAAAGTTTTTTGCTAAAAATATATTTTTGTTTCTTTTTGACAATTTGAATGGAAAACTATTACAGTAAGGTACTTAACTGTTACCAGAAATGATTTGATATTGATATAAAAACGTCTGCATTGGGCCTTTAACCACAGTGTGTATCAATCCACCAGAGTGGAGGGACCTAATAGGAGGGATATGTAACCTGAAAACTAGCTGTTATTGGCAGAGATGTTTGGAACTCTCTATGTTTTGATCTATTTATGCCGCGTTCAAGACAACTGGGAACTTGGAAAAAAAGCTCAGAATGGGAAAAATCGCTTTGAACGATCATCCAACTCGGAATATCAAGTTGGAAACTCGGGCCTCTTTCTAGAGCTCCCAGTTTCCGACCTGAAGATTGCTGACGTCATGACCTCTTATATTTCAGAGTTCCCAGTTGTCTTGAAAGCACCATTACTACCTTTTGATGTCACCAGGCAAAACTCCTCCCATATTAAAAGGGCTTGTGTGGATTTTCACACTTTTACATTGTTAGTTTCATCAGCTGTTGTACAATATGATACAAGACACAGGGAATTTTTTTTGTTTTGACTGCACTGGGCCTTACTCATAGCTTCTGGAAGGTTTGTAGAAACATAGTAAGAGAGGAAAGATAAGTTTGAATGGGAAGACAATGGGTGTGAAAATGTTTTACCTATTACATTTCAGACTCAACGCCATAAAAACTAACCGAGATAGTTTTTTGTAAAAAATGTAAGAGCCCTAATTGAATACAGATTTAGAAAATGTGTCAGGTCCACCCTCTGTGTCACAATGGGCTAAAACAGGGTCACATAGGGTGTTTTTGGTAGTTTTACAAATGTTCATGGTATCAAAAGTATACACCTCACACACATGGCTCAAATTGAAGAAGACACTTGTACCATGTCAGATAATGAGTTGAAATGTATTTAAGTTTGAGTTTATATCCCAATATTACATTTTATATGCAACACAGAAGATTAAAACATAAAAATCCCTTGTTTGTTTTTTGAGGTGTACATTAAGAGAACTATTCAAAAATGGTCTGTTGGTTGATATTCCCCTTGGGTAATTCCCCATCATCTTGTCAACATGTGCTAAAAAATGAATTGAGAGTCTTAGCTTTCACAATAGCAGATAACTCCAACCATTCAAAAGTTAGAGACACATTTGTAGGAAAAAGACAGAAACCAATCTGTTTGTCACAACTGCTAATTCGCGGATATTGGAGGTTCCTCATTTAATCGTGGTTCTATGAACGAAGCAGCGCATTCAGTGGATTGAAAATCATTGGGGAGGGGATGACAAAATATCCCCCCCCCTGGAATATTGGGGGGTACGTGTCCCACTCACTCTGAGCAAGGGAACACAACCTTCGTTTGCTGTTTGCTAAGACGGATTTCAGGCCTCATTTCTCCCATATGCCACTATTCTGGTGGAAAGATAGACAGAATATTTCAGAGCCATCACCTTCCATTGGACCATCCCATTCTGTTGGAATTACTTTTTTTGTCTTTTTTGGTCCCCCCCCATTGGATTATAAATATTTATTTGATTTAGACTTGGACTCAAACAGTCAACCTGTGGTTCTTGTGGGAAGGTTTTCAGTTACAATGTGAATTTTCTCAATGCACTTTTGGCTCTTACAGAACTTCATTTGTTGTGATGTTTGAGTCCTTCTTTTTTGTTATTGTGAACCCTATGGTTTCCTAACCATTTTAAATGGGTTAATTGGCCAAGCCTCAATTAATTTTTTTTGATGAACACACTGTAAAGTTTGACAAGAAGCTGATCCACTGTAGTGTATTTCTGACGTAGTTGCTGGTTGAAAATACAATCTACACAGCAGGTTTTGCATGGGTGGAGTTTCAGCTTGCCCGGTAAATAAGTTAATAGACCAATAACAAATAGTTCCAAACCTCTCTGCCAATAACAGCTTTTATGTGCCCTCCCCCTCCCCACTCAGACCACTTTCAGACTGTCCTAGCAAAATTCTTGTTTAAGAAAGTTTTTTGCTAAAGAGATATTTTTGTTTCTTTTTGACAATTTGAATGGAAAACTATTACAGTAAGGTACTTAACTGTTACCAGAAATGATTTGATATTGATATAAAAACGTCTGCATTGGGCCTTTAACCACAGTGTGTATCAATCCACCAGAGTGGAGGGACCTAATAGGAGGGATATGTAACCTGAAAACTAGCTGTTATTGGCAGAGATGTTTGGAACTCTCTATGTTTTGATCTATTTATGCCGCGTTCAAGACAACTGGGAACTTGGAAAAAAAGCTCAGAATGGGAAAAATCGCTTTGAACGATCATCCAACTCGGAATATCAAGTTGGAAACTCGGGCCTCTTTGTCACGATCGTCTGAAGGAGGAGACCAATGCGCAGCGTTGCGAGTGAACATGATGACTTTATTAAATTAAAGCAACCACGAAGAAAACAACAAATGACGATACGTGAAGTTCAAAAACTGAAACACACTAACAGCAACACAGAAACAATAACCCACAAAACACAAAGGAAAACCGACAGTTTAAATATGGCTCCCAATCAGAGATAACGAGCCGACAGCTGACACTCGTTACCTCCGATTGGGAGTCACTCAGGTACACATAGAAAAAGCACAACTAGACTACCCAACATAGAAAACGAAAACACACCGAAACAAACACACCCTGGCACAACAACACGAGTCCATAGCCAGAGTGTGACAGTACCCCCCCCTAAAGGCGCGGACTGCGACCGCGCCTAACTACGAGCAAACAAGGGAGGGTTGGGTGGGCATTCCTCCTCGGCGGCGGCTCCGGCTCCGGGCTTGATCCCCACCTCCTCTCCAACCCCCCAAAGTACCCCTGGTCCTGTCTAGCCCCGCTGGCCGGAGCCGGACTGACGACACGCGCCCCTGGCTTGGTGCGTGGAGGACGAACGGGCCGGGCTGGGCTGGCGACGCACACCGTAGGCTTCGTACGTGGAGCAGGAACAGGCCGGGCTGGGCTGGCGACGCACACCGTAGGTTTGGTGCGAGTGGCAGGAACAGGCCGGACCGGGCTGGCGACGCGCACCGTAGGTTTGGTGCGAGTGGCCGGAACAGGCCGGGTCGGGCTGGCGACGCGCACCGTACACTTGGTGCGGGTGGCAGGAACAGGCCGGACCGGGCTGGCGACGCACACCGTAGGCTTCGTACGTGGAGCAGGAACAGGCCGGGCTGGGCTGGCGACGCACACCGTAGGCTTCGTACGTGGAGCAGGAACAGGCCGGGCTGGGCTGGCGACGCACACCGTAGGTTTGGTGCGAGTGGCAGGAACAGGTCGGGCTGGGCTGGCGACGCACACCACTGCCTTGGTGGGAATGGCAGGAACAGGCCGAACCGTACTGGGGACACACACCACTGGCTCCACGCAGGGATCAGGAACGGGCCGGACCGGACTGGTAACACATCCCAGTACCTCTCGCCGTGCCTCCACACTTTCCCTCTCCTCTGTGCCCAGTGGCCCCCCTAACCTGGCGGCCCTCTCTGCCAACGCTTTGCACCACTCTAACCCGTACACCTGCTGCCGACGTCGTGAGCCCCCCCCTAAAAATTTCCTGGGGGTCTCTCCTCCCCGTGGCCCAGGCCTCTCTCCCTCTTGCCAGACTCGCAATCATCTCCTGCCACGTCCATCCTCTCTCCTCGTCCCGCTGCTTGATCCAGTCGAGGTTTCCACGGCGATCTGCCAGCGATGGCTCCTGAACACGCTGCTTGGTCTGGTTAAGGTGGGTTATTCTGTCACGATCGTCTGAAGGAGGAGACCAATGCGCAGCGTTGCGAGTGAACATGATGACTTTATTAAATTAAAGCAACCACGACGAAAACAACAAATGACGATACGTGAAGTTCAAAAACTGAAACACACTAACAGAAACAATAACCCACAAAACACAAAGGAAAACCGACAGTTTAAATATGGCTCCCAATCAGAGATAACGAGACGACAGCTGACACTCGTTACCTCCGATTGGGAGTCACTCAGGTACACATAGAAAAAGCACAACTAGACTACCCAACATAGAAAACGAAAACACACCGAAACAAACACACCCTGGCACAACAACACGAGTCCATAGCCAGAGTGTGACACTCTTTCTAGAGCTCCCAGTTTCCGACCTGAAGATTGCTGACTTCATGACCTCTTATATTTCAGAGTTCCCAGTTGTCTTGAAAGCACCATTACTACCTTTTGATGTCACCAGGCAAAACTCCTCCCATATTAAAAGGGCTTGTGTGGATTTTCACACTTTTACATTGTTAGTTTCATCAGCTGTTGTACAATATGATACAAAACACAGGGAACATTTTTTGTTTTGACTGCACTGGGCCTTACTCATAGCTTCTGGAAGGTTTGTAGAAACATAGTAAGAGAGGAAAGATAAGTTTGAATGGGAAGACAATGGGTGTGAAAATGTTTTACCTATTACATTTCAGACTCAACGCCATAAAAACTAACCGAGATAGTTTTTTGTAAAAAATGTAAGAGCCCTAATTTAATACAGATTTAGAAAATGTGTCAGGTCCACCCTCTGTGTCACAATGGGCTAAAACAGGGTCACATAGGGTGTTTTTGGTAGTTTTACAAATGTTCATGGTATCAAAAGTATACACCTCACACACATGGCTCAAATTGAAGAAGACACTTGTACCATGTCAGATAATGAGTTGAAATGTATTTAAGTTTGAGTTTATATCCCAATATTACATTTTATATGCAACACAGAAGATTAAAACATAAAAATCCCTTGTTTGTTTTTTGAGGTGTACATTAAGAGAACTATTCAAAAATGGTCTGTTGGTTGATATTCCCCTTGGGTAATTCCCCATCATCTTGTCAACATGTGCTAAAAAATGAATTGAGAGTCTTAGCTTTCACAATAGCAGATAACTCCAACCATTCAAAAGTTAGAGACACATTTGTAGGACAAACCAATCTGTTTGTCACAACTGCTAATTTGCGGATATTGGAGGTTCCTCATTTAATCGTGGTTCTATGAACGAAGCAGCACATTCAGTGGATTGAAAATCATTGGGGAGGGGATGACAAAATATCCCCCCCCCCCTGGAATATTGGGGGGTACGTGTCCCACTCACTCTGAGCAAGGGAACACAACCTTCGTTTGCTGTTTGCTAAGACGGATTTCAGGCCTCATTTCTCCCATATGCCACTATTCTGGTGGAAAGATAGACAGAATATTTCAGAGCCATCACCTTCCATTGGACCATCCCATTCTGTTGGAATTACTTTTTTTGTATTTTTTGGTCCCCCCCCATTGGATTATAAATATTTATTTGATTTAGACTTGGACTCAAACAGTCAACCTGTGGTTCTTGTGGGAAGGTTTTCAGTTACAATGTGAATTTTCTCAATGCACTTTTGGCTCTTACAGAACTATTCATTTGTTGTTGATGTTTGAGTCCTTCTTTTGTTGTTTATGCTGAACCCCTATGGTTTTCCTATCAATACCATTATTATTGTACTGGCCAAGTTCCTCAATCTCAAAGTTTGTGGTTTATGGAGAGGGCCATGTTGTGCAGGAGGGCCACCCAGGGATGGGCTGTAGGTCTCTGAGTGGCTGCCTTTAATTGAGTGGTCTGGGTGAGGGATGGTCTCTGGGGCGATGTATGACTGCTGTTTTCTCTGGTGCAGGCGGCCCACTATGATGCATGTGCAGCACCACAGCCAGGAGACTGCTCCATTCATCAGCACCCCTCCCCCAACCCCCTGAGCTGGGTGGGTGTAAATATGATCTGCACCCCAGTGCGGCCCGCCCGGCCTTGAGTGATGGGCACAGTGTCCGGGGGCTGCCCACAGGCATAGCACTCATCTATCCTCCTCACTGAAGGATCCATTTGGCCGGTGAAATACAATCCAGGAACCTGGTTTCGCTCATCCAGATTTACACAGCTTCCCCTCCTCTATCTTTCATTATCTCAATGGTTTTTAAAGGTATAGGCCAAGGCCATCCCTGCAGTAAGCCCCACGCCTCAGCACTTATATCATCCTGTATATGACTTATACTGCACTGAGGGAGATTCATGCTGGGGTTCAAATGCAGTTTGGAAGTCATTGTTTTTATTGCTGGTTTTGTAGTGTGTCATTTCACTCCCACACTAACATAGCTTCACCAGAACCCTGATAGGTCAGTGAGCTTGAAAGGTGTCCTATCAGCTTTGGTTTGTCTAAGCCAATGAGAACCGGCTCACGGTGACATAAGTGAATGCTTTCCTGTCATATCTATTAATGTAAATTAACATAGTGAGTGAAACTAGTCCGGCACTCTAGGCATAACAGTATAATGAGGACAGGCTTTCCTTCTACATAATGTTTTATTAAGAAAAAGTAGCAGCGTACCTGAACAGTGTGACATTAGCCTCAGCCTCCAGTTTTGCCCAGAGCTGGTAGCATTCCTCCATCATGTGGGTGTAAAAGTCCTGTTCATAAGTCTTCCGGATGATCCTGGTCTGGCCATGGGAACTCCCCCAGGAGTGGGGCAGGAGGAACTGAAGAATGACACAGCATAATGTCCTTTTGGCTCTATATTACAGTGTATGGTTCTTATTGTAGTCTGTGGTGCTCAATGGCCAGTGATGAGGAAAAGGTATCACTGATGAACTGATATTGTTTTGTAGCTTTGTGCTTATCCTGCAATGATAAATGTTTTATTCTTACTGTATGTTACTGTCAGTTGAGCAATGTCAGATGTGTACACATAAGTTTAAATATTAGGCCATAGACATGATGAATACAACTCAGTGATTTAAAAAGAAACTAGTGAAAACATGTATTCAGCGTGTTATTGTCTTGCAAATGATCCATTAATCATGAGGCACAGACTATTTTATTTAACTCATCTGCACACCTTCTGCTGTCTGCAGTGAAGGTTGGCTGTTATTGCAGGTGAATGTGGCCTTCATTGAAGATTAACTTCCTCTTCCATTGTTTGGCTATCCACTTAAATAGCAACATCGACCAATGTTTTTTTTATCAGTAGCAGAACATATTGATAGCTGCTGCCTTACAAACAACTGGTGTTGTACGTGGGTTCATTCTCTGCGGATGTCTCCCTTTTAGCTCCATCAAACCTGTTGTCTTGTTTGACCTGACTTCAAAGATGTTCTCACTCCGATTGAAGGCTCAATACATTAGTTCACTTGCAGAAAACTACAAAACTGGAGTCACTGGGTGGATATGGATAATGAGTTAGTTACACACCTGCTCCAGTAGAAGAGTTTTCTTGTTATTTTTTGCCAGGTGATAGGCGGTGAAGGAGCCTTGTATCTCTGCTCCTATAACGATACAGTCGTAATCATGCTGGTCGGACATTGTCTCTGAGACCTGGTAGTGTAGTACAACACACAGCACTGCTCGGTAATGACTGTTTACCTCTCTATTCACCAACTGTACCTCTCCACCTCCATGGTCCTCTAGCCAAAGTTCTTCCATTATTTACAAATCAGCCTGTCAGACTGGCTACTGCTGACCCTTTGCACCACAGCACACTTTGGGTAATAGGAGGGTCATTTACAAAACTGAGCCTTATAGACAAACAACCATATATCTATTTTTTTGTTTGAACAGCTAATGTAGTTGCATTTGTATAAACAATCTAAATCATTTGGAGTTAGAATGTTACACATCACCTGAAAGGACACAACCTCTACTGCAGGGTTCCCCAACTGGCGGCCCGGGGACTGAATTTGACCCGCAGGTGGTTTTATTTGGCCCCCCAAGTTTTCTGAGCAATTAATTTTTAATTTAGGAAATATTTTCCCAAGTATTCCCACTTATAATAGAGAGACTGTCACGCCCTGACCTATAGAACTCTAGTTAGTTTGGTCAGGGTGTGAATATCATGTATGTGTTTTCTATGGGGACATTCTATGTTTGTATTTCTATGTTTGGCCGGGTGTGATTCCCAATCAGAGGCAGCTGTCGCTCGTTGTCTCTGATTGAGGATCATACTTAGGCAGCCAGTTTTCCTGCCTGTGTTGTGGGATCTTGTTTGTGCTCGGTGAGTTTGGCTTGTGTGTGTATAGCCTTCCGACGTCACGTTTCGTTGCTTGTTGTTGTTTTGTATGTTTATTCAGTTTAATAAACATGTATGCATTTCACGCTGCGCCTTGGTCTGACCCGTTCTTCAACGACCGTGACAGAGACACATGATCATATACAAATGTAAGCAAGGTTTTAAATGATTATGATCAAATATTATTATTACTGTTTGGGCTTATTTTTTTAATTTGCAGTCTACAAATTATTTGTAATTATGTTCCGGCCCCCCGACCATCTGCTCAAGACAAAATCGGCCCGCAGCTGAATCTAGATGATGATCCCTGCTGTACTGTCTACTTCGATGTCTGTACACAACTCTTGACGTTACAGTCAGCAGATAATGACATTTGAAAACATGACTAATCTGAAAATGTAAAAGGCACATACAGTATATGGTTCTTGGTCTGTAGGGCTCAACTGTTAGGGATGATATGGTAGTGATACTGTATGTAGACGATCATAGAACATATGGATTTGACTGGATTCATCTGAAGAAGAAACTGTCAGAACATAAAGAATAGTTTTAGAATATGTTATGACACCGTGAACATTGATGTTATCTTTGAATAACTAATTTGAACTATAATGTAGTGACGGCTCCTTTTAGAGGCCGTCTCTCTCTGACACAACTGATTTGTCAAGAGACAAGATGATCACTGTGATTCTCTTAAATCTTCAAAACAGTGAGATGTTATTTCCCACCCAGTGCTAGAACGTCACAATGATTGTAAATCAAAAGGGCACTCGTATTATTTTCCATATAGACCTACATACACAACTCTCTTTACTTCATGCACTTGCAATCACCACTCTCACAGCATTAAAGATACAACAGACCAGGTCAGCATGTTTATGATCATCAACATGTTGAGATTTGCACCCTACACATTTGCAGTCAGCACACAAATGAAGAAATACATTGTGCATCGCGCACCAGAACAAAGGATATGCATTCCAAATGCTCCAGTCTAATTAGAACTCAAACAGGTGATACAGCAGTGTCAGCATGCAGATGCGCTTTGTTTTATTCATGAGACGTCACTAGACGCTTTGGTTGTTGTTTAGTGCTGTTGTTGTTCCCCTGTGCAAATTGCAGGGTTTGCACACATTGGCTCCATCATCAATCACACACTGCTGACTGCACACACACACACTGATATGACACCTAGGCATTCCAATTAGTTCCACAACTAAGTATTCACCATAGAGGTGAGTAACAAGTAGAACATTGGCTGGCTGGCTGTACTCTGACATCAAACTACCAAGTTGCAAACTCTAAAGTGTTTACCCGACTGTTTGCTTGATTGCAGCTTCACTGTAATGTGAGAGTGAGTGGATGACAAAAACAATAACAAGCTCTCTTTTTGATATATCTAATTTGGTTTCAGGTACAGGAAAAGAGGCAAAAACTACAGGCCACAGCTTTCTGATTCTCACATGGGAGGAGAGAAACAACACACACTCATGCACACATACACATACGCACACAAGCACGCATGTTTATGCACACACGCAGATGCGTAGTGGCACACACACTCCAAGGGGGGCACCAGTGTGTGCTTAAAGGCCCAGTGTAGTCAAAAACGTGATTGTCCTGTGTTTTATATATATTTCCACACTATGAGGTTGGAATAATAGTGTGAAATTGTGAAAATGATGATAATGCCCGTTTAGGTAAGAGCTGATTGAAAAGAACGCCTGAAGTGTCAGCCTGTTTTGGTGGGATGGAGGTTTGGCCTGCCTGGTTAATAGACCAATTAGAAAAAGAGTTCCAAACTGCCAATAACAGCTAGTTTTCAGTTTTCCCCTCCCCACTCAGACCACTCCTAGAGAGTCCTAGCGAATTTCTTGCTTGAGAAATTGCTCTTTGCTAAGAAGCTATTTTTGTTTCTTTTTGACCATTTTAATTGGAGAAAAAAATCACAGTAATGTATTTAATTGTTACCCAGAAATGATTTGATATTGAGATGAAAACGGTTGCATTGGACCTTTAAAGAGCACAGGCACCCTGCTGCTCCTCCAAAATCACCATCTGCCAGCTGAAAGTTGACTCCCTGAGAGCATTTTATCCAGGCTGGTAGTATGCCCGCTCACCCTCCCATTCTGTGGATTTTACCTCGCCTTCTGAATAATGCAGTTTAAAGGGTAGCTCTATGAAATATAGTCATGGTTTTGTCCCAGAGAACCGCTCAACACTGTATATATTTGAGGTGCTATAAACGTTGTCTTCAATCTATTTTCCTGTGTGCTGCAATGCGTTCTACATGCTCAGCTAAACTTATTTATACAATATATAATATATAAACCAATAACCATGTTTCCTTTCCCAGATTATTTATTCAGTGGTATAGCTCCACCAGATTAGTTTTGTCCCTGCACAAAACCTATGTCCCTGGGAACTCCTATACTAGCCTGTAATCAAATAGAAATCATTCTTCAGTCATTTTATTAGTTGTTGGGGCTCATACAGTCGATTCAGAGTAATAATTGACCCAGCTCACTTTAGACTGAAGAAAAACAAATCACTGTTCTAAAATGTACATAGTGGTCAGGTGAAATAAACATAAATACATGTATATTATATATAACAGCTCCTATAGATAGAGGAAATCCAAACCGGGGCGTATACATTCGAGGGAAATGTAACTGTTAATCCATGTCCCCATGTGTTTTTAAACATGGCGCTGAGAGCTCCGGCTCAACCAACCAAAAGTGACTTAATTACCTTACATTTACAAGTCACACTATTTATTTCTGGTCATGTTTAAATATAAGCCCGGCCTGTTGAATATTCATGTCCCTCCCTTGCTTGCACACAGGTTAATATTTGTCTGTGTCTGATGAATAACTAAAGACTGATGAATAATGGATGTGCCTGGGCCTGCCTGGTTTTTACCAGCATTGGGTCTGCTTGGCTGTATCTGGCTGTGTAAGATGTGTCAGGTGTCCATTCTGCCAGCTAGTGGAAGTGACTCCAGGGATCAAGTGTCTCTCTATGTCTGACACTGGTGCTGTACAGAGATCACGATTCCCTATCTACTCAGTTTTTTTGCACTTTTACGCAGTCAGCATTGCATAGCATGAGGACATGGTCTGGTTACTGGAGCTGAGCTTATTGAGACAGGGACATACTGTACTGGAGGAAGTCTTAAAATGCCTCTTTTAAATGCTGTTTTAAATGAAATAAAAATGAGTCTATTATCACTGTATTTAATACAAGGCACCATGCATCAACCTGATGTGTTTTAAAGTTCGGTCTCCTCTTTCCTTCCATGAGCAGCCTGCGTGTGTTTGGCTCCTGCGTCGGCTCCATCTGTGTTGTAGTCCTTTGACAGAGTGATTATGGACGTTTGTGTCAAGGCATGGAGAGGAGTTTGGCATGGCATGTGTTGCTCTACAATCATTGTATGGAAATGATGAGATCCGCAATTGGCAAATGAATGTAATTTGATGACTATAATTGGAGTCATGGAATAGATCATACGAGTATTAAAACTAACTGCATATTAAGACTCATTCAGTACAGTATGTTGGCAAATGTAGTAATGCAAATCACATACATTCCAATGCACACAAAACACAGGTTCTTCATACAATCTTATAGGCAATTTATATCCAATACATTGAAATGTTCAGCATCCAACAATATCAATTAGCTCCAATTAATTGAAGTGTACACGGATGTACATCTCTGCATCTTGCCTACCTATGTGAAGGCATATGCTCCCAGCATGGTAGGTCTGACTGGCCCAGCCTATACTCACTCTAATTGGTAAAGGAGATGACGAAACTGCACCTCTGGAGGAGTTAGTTTATCAGGCAAAAGAGCAGGATGATTGGCTCTAGGTTTATCTTGCTTATCAGCAGTGGCATTTTTAGCATGTAAGTCTTGGTGAGGCAAACAAAAAAATTAATAATTGCATTATAACGGTGAAAAATGGTTGCCCACAAACTGTTAGGGCCTACATAAAGCTGTCCCAACAGCAGAGCTTTCTTTTCAGCACCATGGAGTGAATCCTTACCACCGCTACAACTGGCTATCAGCTGAGCTTTGTCTGGCAGCAAAACAGTTCATTCAGCTGCATTTACTGCCTTTTAAAAAAACATAGCTGATATGGCTGACTTGCTTAAACAAATGTGGTTTCTACTGACAATTGAGATGTACAAACTATGGCATAATGGCACGACGAGCGGATAAGAGGCAATCCGTAATTTAGATTAAGACATTAATGAGCGAGCTAGAACGGACGTAGTCAATATAACTATTTGTT